GAGGTTTTTGAGGGACAAGAAGACGAAAGCAATGCCTCACATGAGGATTTCCTTGTTGTGGACATTGAGGAAAGCGAAAGCGATGATGATCAAGATGAACCACAAGGTAATCCAAACTACCTGTATATTTGGGCTATTCCTGGTGCCATCTAGAAGAAAAATGTAAATCCAAGGCCTGTATTTCGTCTCCGTAGTAAACGAATGGTTTTGGCGGTTGTTTTAATATTATTATTTATTCATTTTAGTGTGGCCTTGTGTGTCTCAGGAACTGGAAGATAAGATCAGACATGTCGACAGCGGCATTCAAAAACCTTGCAGCTTCAAGGTGAAACTTCCCAAGTTCCCCCGTGTTTTCTACGCCCCTTGGATAGTGTTCCGTAGAAATCTTAGAGGCATCACAAGTCTTGGTCTCCCGGCTGCTGGAAATAGTGGTCACATCGCCGAAGAGTGGCACGGAGATGTCGCCAAATCTATCGTTGTCAAGTTTTTCCGTTCGGTGTATTCCTTCGATACCATCGCTAATTGGCTGCGATTTGCCCAAGTTCTTGGAGACGCTGGTGTTGCCCCAAAATTTGAAGGACTGTTTGACGTCCATGATCTGAAAGACTTTCCGACTAAATTTAAACGTACAACATGTTGTATTCAGCGACGCTGGGAAGATCCATATAAGCAGTACCATATGGTCGGCATGGTCACTGAATTCATCAAAGTTGGAGGTGAAGATATAAGGTTCGCTGATACTGTCTGTTTCTCAGACTACCTCAGAAATTACATGGATCGAATCAATAGGGAGCCATACAAATACATGTACAAATTCCAGTACAAGCCACTCAACAAAACGGAGAAATATCACTTCATGCGTCTCATCACACGCATTGCAGAAAAGCTGGCCAAAATGCAACAGATGGGTTTTGTACACAACTACCTGAATGGACGTCACATTTGTTTGCAGTCCATTAGTGACGATCAGGAAATGATGGAGCCTTATATCTGCAACTTTAGTCGCACCAGAAAGATAGACAGCGTCAATCCGTACACCATTCACCGCCAGCGAGACCCACTATCCCAAGCCGCCTACAAGGGACTTTTAGGAGGCTTTGCTCCAGAGGTACGCCAAGGAGTTGATTCCACCCAGGCTAGCGACGTCTACAGCTTCGGGTGCACGATAAGCCCCCTGAAAGTAGTCCTCGGCATCGAAGCTCTTGTCAATACCTGCCTGAGAGAAGACCCGCGCGGGCGTCCAAAAATGCCTCTCTTGGCACAGGTGCTCAGAAACAAAACCACCATTATGGAGAAGAATCTCGGTTTCCCAATTACTGCTGATATCGATGCTCATCGTTCAAAGGTTTCCGTGAGCACTACACCTGATGTCCACAGGTACTCCTCGAGACTTACCCGGCGACAAGAGGGTTTTCTGGACGGTCTCCAATCCAGCGGCGCTATTGCAATTGGGAACATTAAGTAGAAACAATACTGAGACCTGAACAGAACATTGCACCATTTTGATTATTGTTTGTTTTAGATATTTTGAGATGCATAAACTCTGGAATATGTTTACTGATGTATTTTGAAACTAAGATCAACTCACAATATCTATACATTGTTTACATGCTTTTTGCTTACATTAAAGCGGGACACTTATTTACCATCATCTTTATTTGACGGTGCTTATAAATTACCAGTGTCCCTTTTGAAAAACATGTTGCATTACTCCCATTTATTCAAAACATGTTGCATTTTTTATCTTGAAACATGGCGTTGACCGATAGATGTGCAATTATTGTAAATAATTATTCTTGTAAATAACTACCTTGTATATATTGGTTCTTGGAATGCACTGTGAAATTGACGTTTTATTTTAGTCTTTTTCTATAAGTATAAAAGTCAAAGGCGCCTTAATCTTCACAACCCTCTTTAATTCACATTATACCCACACCGCTGTGAAAATACAAACGTTCATAGAAGATGTTACTGGCACTTCTGTGATACATGTATGTCTGTGAACAGATGAAATAAAAGAATCTCTCGAACCATGTTATCTAAGAACTTCATTTCTTGTTCAGAATCTGAATCATTTTGAGAATAAAGGGATAAAAGAAATATGCAGGAAATCGTAAAATTAACTAACCACGGAATTGGTGAATTAATCCACAGCGCAAGTAGCGTTTTTGAGCCTTAACAACTTACTTCAACCAAGTAAACGCCAGCATTGATTTTTAGCTAACATCTTGTAGCTAAAGCAGTAATAAACAAAGCAAATACATGTATGCCCTTGACATCATTCTTTCATTTATTGTTTTTTAAACAACATTAGTAATTTACATATAACAATTTTGCCTAGGAAAACTACATTTTTTCTTAGAAGATTTCAGAATCTATACTATTTACATGCATGTTTAATTAAAAAGGAGAAAGTGGTTCTTTTACTTTGTTCTTTTTGTCAGGTTTCAAAGGAAGGATAGCTATGTATATGCTGAAAATTAAAGGATCATTTTAAAACACACAATGACTAAGAATCACAAGAAGACCACATTTTTCAATATTGAGAAACAGAGTTTTGGAATACAACTCAAAGTTAAATTAACTTGAAATACAGACCCCAGGTCACAGATCATAAATATTGCACATAAAGAGTATATACGAAATTCCAAGGCTGATAAAGACAGACAAAAAACACTTTTTGTACACGAAATTCTAAGGAAACCTTTATCAAGTGAGAGATCAGGCAACATATCCGAATACAATAACATGCTTACTTTGGGGACTAATGAAAGCAATGAGTAAATACTTAAAATAGCTTTTTTTCTAGACAATGTATAGATATTACAAAAAACATTTTTTGCACAAACCACCTATTTATAACACTTAAACCCCACACATATGTATTACATAAAGAGGAAGCATGTTTTTTGAGTAAGTTTTTCTTTGCATGATTTTGTCAAATAATTCGGACTACCTTCCTATTTTCAATAACAATAATAATAATAATAGTAATAATGTTTTGGAAGATCCTATTTTTTTGTGACTGCTTAACCTAACAGGAGATCAATTTTCTGCCGGCTGCTGGAAACAGTGGCCACATCGCCGAAGAGTGGCACGGAGATGTCGCCAAATCTATCGTTGTCAAGTTTTTCCGTTCGGTATATTCCTTCGATACCATGCTTTTATTCAAAAATGCATTATTAAATTTAATTAAAGCAAATGTGATATAATATGGAAGACAATAACATACTAAAAGATCCCTTTAATAAATTAATTACAGTACCATTAACTTTTCCAAAATCATTTTATAAAATATCACAAAAAAGTGTTCAATGCCCAATGTTGTTATAGAATAATTTAGTTACTGTTAGCATCTCTTTCACATTACTGTCATCTAAATGATTACATACATTCATAGCAAATGTCATATGTATTAACAAGAATGCTTTACCATGTAAAGCAATGATAATTCAATATTTCTTAATGTTCTTCAAAGTCTAAAAGATCATTCCTGTCTAATAACAGGTGAACATATATGATATGTAGCAGTCACTGTTTTTCTAATCTTGCGGAATAAACAGAATCCATTGTGAAGGTTGTATTGTACTTTAAGATAAAATATGGCATGGTTAATAAATACAGAATGGAAAACAAATAATAGGGCCAATATTTCATTTATCCAGATCTGGTCAAAAGAAAGAAAAAAACAAAAACCAAAAAAAAAAAAAACAAAAAAACAAAAACAAAAAAAAAGTCAGTTCCCTAGCTTAGCTGACTAGGATTTCCATGAGAGTACTGTTATACTGCTCCTGATAGAGTAAGATGTGCCCATGTGACCAAGTAACCTTGGTAATTAAGTTCTAAGCCAGGGATCCTGACTTAAGTTTTTTATTTGTGAAACTGGGGCCTGATTGACTTGGGTCAGAGTATGCTAAAACTTCTAGCTTAAAGTTTTGACCAAAGTTTGGTCCTCATTCTATTGTGAAACAATTCCCTGGTCTCACAACCTTAACTGCCAAACCTGTATAAAGCTTAGGATTTATCATACAACTGAAAGATCTTTCTGAACCATTTATTGTTCCTGAGTCAGTCACCATATGGAGTTATTGTGGTCCCCATAACAACATATGAATAGAGATTAGTGGTATTTAGTGTTTGATTAGTAATTGATATGAGATCAGCAGAACTGTTTCAGCCGAATGGTAAAGCCCCCTTTACACTGGACGGCGTCCTTTCTGCGTCCAGCAGCACAGCCCCATTTGAGAGTTAAAAAATTATAATACGTTACGTGCCGACAACTGGCCGATCATTGAGCATTCAATCTGATACCAAATCAATGCTTGTGCCTCCTTATTAAGACCACAGCGATGCCAAATTTCATGGTCGCAGAAAGGACGCAGAAAGGACGCCGTCCAGTGTAAAGGGGGTATAAGGAAAGTAACACATGGAACTGTTACTGTTTTTAAAGTGGATAACATGAGCACAGTTGCAATACTGTTCAAGTCTCAAATGACTCAGATCTATTGCCCATCATATCAAGATACTAGTGATAGAATAACAGATGATAAAAGGGAATTAATAGCTTAAAATGTACAACATTGACAAAAATGTGACACCCTTGTATAAGACCTGTATTTTGTAATATTGCTATATAATGCCAAATGGGCACTAGAAAAAATTAGCTAAAAAATGGAAGACAAGGATTTCCAATGAAAAAATTACGTGAGTTTGTGATCAAGGTAAAACAATAGAACTGCGTCATCTAGTTAATAATTCCACATTCACATTATCATGTCCTTGTCATGAAGAGGTATAGAGCAGTCAATTCAAAAATATGATTCAATTAAAGCATCACATTTTGTACCATCAAAAATATATTGTATATATTCTGTTGTAAAAATGGGGGAAAAATAAGTATTTGGATGCAGTGATTCAGACTTATCAAAAAAAAATTCTCATGTCGAATTTGAGACAAATTACATATTATCATTTTAAAAAACACCTTGTCAATAACAAAATCACATCTGAGCTTTTGTTGTTCCATTAAAATGGATAATTGTGACCCCCATTAACACACACACAGTAAGTATTTACATATCTATATATATATAAATATTAATATCAAGTACCTGTTTCAAGGAAGACAAGAACCACATATAACAACACACACACAGGAAGTTCTTATATATCTATATATAAATATTAAAATTAAGTACTTGTTCTAAGGAAGGCAAGAACCACAATCAACAACACACACACACAGAAAGTCTTTATATAACTGCATATAAATATTAATTACTTGTTCCAAAGAAGACAGAAACTGGTGGAAGTTAAGGAACCATAATCTCAATCACAACGTGGTTCTTTACTGTGATCTCATTTGGATGAAGACAAAATACATCTGCGTGCCCTTGCCCAGCTAGGTTTCTGCTTGTTCAGGTGACGGTATGACAATACTTGGAAGCTCTGCTTGGACAACTTTTTCTAAAACTTTCAGCCACCTGAAAAAAAAATGGTAAAGTGAAATGTTTGAACAATAAGGCAATGAATTGTTAAAATCATAGAAAAATGTTGAAGATTTCAAAACCACTTTCTTTTCAATCTTGCATAAAGATCAATCTCATTTACATAGCAGTGTTTTTAAAACATATAAACAATTTTAAAGATAAGAAGTTGTGAATTTTAGTTTTTTAGTTAAATCAGNCCCCGAGGTAAGTACCACGTGACCCAACGTGGCTGACTACGTCATACCTCGTGACCACAACATGACAGACCATTGTCATCTCCGTGTTTCACTAAGGACAGATCTTATATTATTTTACAAAATGCGGAGATTTGTAATTGTTCGCCTGCAGCTTAAATGTGCCGCATGTCGATGAAATAGTTTAGAATTTGCCTAGATGTTTTGACAACCCTACAGATGGTGTGCCGGTAAGTGTCACAAGAATTGCCTTAAATAACTAGAGGAACCCCAAAAAAAGTATTATACAAGACAATTTTTTAAATAAAATAACCATTTATATATATATATATATATATATATATATATATATATATATATAAATTTACATTATAATTCACACGGTGTTCTCCGTATGTATTCACTGTGCAGTGGCAGTGAGCCGGCGGTGGCCTATTATCCAGAGCCCCATTACCAGTCGCCAAGTGACTACGCCGATGTAGAAAACACTTACGCAACTCTCGATTCTATCCACGGGGAACCCGATGATGATGACGGGTAACTTATGCTCTCTCTCTCATCAGCATATATCAATAGAAATGTGTTTTTTTTAGAAAGCATTATCAAAAACGTTTACATTTTGAATAAAAAAAATAGTAACAGCCTTGATAAATTCATAAGTTATTAATTACTTTTAATGGAAGCATTGTGAAACCCGTTTAGATTTTGCAGTTTTAATACTACTGTATATTGTCACAGCCTCGATAAAATCAGATACTTCATTGTGCGATGCTCAAGGCGTTTCATGAGCACGAGTTGTAAAGGCAACAACATTAAAGTATCACTGCATGTTTTGTATACAGTTACTGCTCGCCCTCGTCGCACTATATGACGCTGAACAACGCAACATCTCGGACGCCAGATGGCGGGAGTGACGATTACGACGATGACGCTCCTTATGCCAAACTGAAAGAGAAGACTTCAGGAAACGCTAGAGTCAGAGAGGTAAGAGTACTCTTGAAAGGAGAAATTTCAGTCGTTTTTTTTTTGTGTACCATGTGTACTAGTATGCACTGTGCTTGGGAAGCATTGTGGCGTTACCTAGGCTCATAATGACCATTGTGCATGGTGTTTCTGGAAAAGAAAAATGAACTGGGTCTAAAACGCAACCAACATTAATTCCATGAAGAAATAACAAGTACGTGTTGTACATGTGCGGATCACTCATTCTGAATGTAATTAACTGGTTTTTCCTCGGCTTCATATACATGTATTTATCGAGTTCACATGCCTTTTTTTTGCTCTATTTTCAGGGTACCAACCTAAAAACGGAAAACCCGAGTTATGGAATGGCACCGCTCCCACCTGCCCCTCCCCCGCCACCACCGCAAGCTACCCCATATAACAGACAGTCCAGCTTTAGAAACCCTCTTTACGGCAGCCAACTGACAGCAGCAAATATGACAGAAATCGATATGTGAAAATAATTATATAAAAAAAGGATGAATTAGGAAAGTTTTTTCAAACAAAAGATGTATCAACAACCGTTGAACCATGAAAAAAGTGCGAAAAAAAATAGTGACAGGATAAAGGCTGTTAGTTTGGATTCTTCTATTCTGAACAATTTGTATCAGCAACCTTTAATGGTACATACTACAGTATGAACCAAACACCGGTGGAGCGTGGATTCCCGATAACACGTATAAACAACTTCTACTAGTTTCTTATACAGCTCAAATTAAGTCGACATGCCAAGGGATAAACTGCATAAAACACTCGATCAGCTATAAAAGAGCTTTAGACTGCTCCCTTCTTTAAATTTTTGGTCAGAAATTTAACCTACTTATGTGACCTACTTTTCTGCCCCACGTGTAAACAGCATAGAAAGCTAGCAGAAAATCCGTTCAAATATCATTTTTCTGGTAATATTAAAGAATGTCTTTTGGTAATTCTCTTAGTTATACTATTTGAAATTAAACTATATGGCATTTGGTTGGTTTTTGCGGCAAAACATTGACTTCATATATACATACATGTATATAATGCATCTTTAAGTTTTTAGCTTCAGCCTTTTTTAAATTTTCAATTTGAGATCTATATTTAAGAACAATATTTTAGTATTTTTTACAGAGAAAGAATTGTGAAAAATGTCCGCATACAAACTCAAATAGCTTAAAATAATAGGGACATTGGTAATAACTTTTAATTTTTGAATGTTTACAAGGTAGAACTATATTTTTGTGGCTTAGTTCCCACAGACATCTGGATCAATCTATCTCTCTCTCTATATATATAAAGCCCATAATTATCTTTGATAAACTTTTTTCATATCAATTGTTTGTGCAGGAGTATAACCATGTGAAACATTCAATATACCTAACAAAGACATAACTGCAGTTTATTTCTTAATAAATTCATACCAAATGCTTCTTTAACATGTAAAAATTCCATAAAAACCAGAAAAAAAGTTTCTAAACCTTATAATTAGTCGAGTATTACAAAACCTGCAATTACATTTAATTAACAGGAAAGATAACATTAATCATGACACTAAATTTCAAAAAGTGAATATCAAATTATTGGAATAAAATACAATATTAAGATTATCCACAAATACAGCAGCAACTATGACAGAAATCGATATATTAAGAATATCCACAAATACATAAAAATTTAAAACTGAGGGGTCACAACAACAACAACAAAAATAAAAATAATAATAACAACAATATAAAGAGCCTTAAAATGGGCAAACATTGTGTCAATTTTTCTCTCTTGATCTGGTGTACTTCTATTTCTAAACATGTTCACACCACAAACTGGTTTAACTGGTGCCATGTAACAGCTGGAACTCCAAGGTTATATGATTACTCAAGTCAAACCCATTTCTTTCTAAAGTAGTTCTGTCTTAATATCCAAACTGAGTTTTTACTGCATCTTAAATTTGGCATTTAGTTTATTTAACCCAAAATGTCTCTAACTGGCTTTTTAAAATGCAAATTGTGACTTTAGTGGATGCTGAAAATAAATAATACTTAAAAAATCAAATAAAAGTCTGCTACTAGTAAACACAAAACATACATCCATGTGGGGACCACCAACAGTCTGGTCCATTTAAAGTATACAATTTCCTGCTTTCAGCAAGCGGCAATAATAAGTCAATTATACACAGAACTCTGATCATACACTCAATATACATATCAAATATTGTTACCTGTTGAATTATTCAAACAAAATTAACTAAACATAATTCTAGAATTATATCAACTAGTTTGGAAAATTTCAAAACTAAGCTTCTTGTGGTTGTCAAATTCAAAAAAAAAATAGTTGTTTGTGGAATAAGTTTAAAATCAGTTCTGGTGCTTAGATTCCTACAGCATCAATTTGTTCAGAAAAAGAAAATGTAAAAAAATCAATTCTCTAAAATGTCAGTTATTTGTATTTGAACCAACTTCACCCTGAGTCTCTTGTTGCAGTGTCTTCAAATCAATACTGGAAGGAATGGTGACCCCTGCCCCTGTGTGGAGACCAAGAATCACCAGTAATCTCGTCCACATAAAGTCCACCATCTCCAGCTCATTGGAAGTCTCCTTGGTGGCCTTCAGAACATATCTGAATGACTCGTCAATAATGGCAATGAACATATTGATCAGCGTCACCTGGATTATCATGGCAAAGGTTATCAGAAACACAATACCAATGACACGGTTTGAGTCTCCCAGAATTGCAAACTCAAATCCTCCCATGATCAGAGTGAACAAAGTCTGTAACGTGTCTATTAAGGATTTGAATTTTTCAATGTAGTGACCAAAAGCACATTGCCCAAAGAAGGCATAGGCCATCATGAGGAGAGCTAGAACTAGATAGAAATGTAGTGTAGGCTTCCATGATTTCTTTAAAGTGGCAGACAACATGTTCATGCGGACATTAAACCGTAGCAGCTTGAAAAACTTAAGCACTGTCAGCACCAGCATGGCAGCCAAGGTGTAGCCCAGGATGTAGTCCCAGAATGCTGCTGGAAAAAAGTTCACAAATTCCTCTCTGCCATGTTCATGGAAATTGGCAATGGTGAAGTTCACTATGACTAAACGTTGAAAAAACAGACCAATAGCTGAGTATCCCAGGCAGGCAATTGCCACCTCTATGTAACTCCAAGGATCTGAGAAGTATTCCTTAGAACCAGTATTTCTGAATTTGCTGAACTCTCTGTATGTGGATGTCAGTATAAACAGGATGAACATAACTTCACAAACTGCGACAAAGATTTCCAACCCATTCCTGAAATGAAAATAATTAAAAATAAATAATAAAGAGATTGATACCTGATCAAACTCACAGAAATGATAAATTGCTGATGAATAAAATTAATGATGAAGATTTATCAAATCACCACCTTTCTGGCAACAAATGTATACCTACTGACTTCAGGGCTGTTGTTATAAATTTGTTCTAAATAAAATTTCATTTTAACTGTATCTCTTTACTTGCATTGCTTTATAATGTATATTTTATAACACTTTATTCATTTTATACTAAAATTATTATTATCCTATATATATATGTACTTAGTAGTTAGAAAGCCTTAAAATTATAAGTTAATCCAAAAATTTTAAAAATAAGCACATAAGCCTCCACTTTATCTTTAACACTCGTTCTTTATGAGTATTAAGGTTAATTGCTGAAGATGTGATAGAACAAGAAGACAGCCCCAGCAATAACTTACCCATATTGGTAAAATTTACATGTAAAGATTTGATAGAAAGGGAAGATGGCCCCAGTGGGGTGGAACTCAAATAGTAACTGTGCCACACTAAACAGGTTAACCTGGGGGTTGTACAGGGTAAACTCCAGGAACACGGCACGTGTCCTCTGGTCTAGCCACTTGGACTCCTGCAGGTCCGCAAGAATTGACAGGCTTTTATTTCTGGTGTCACCAAGGAGTTTAACATATCCTCCACCTAAAATATCATATACATATAGTCATAGAGAGTTTTTTTTTCCTCCAGTGTCATCAAGGAGTTTTACACATCCTCCAACTAACATGCTAAAGTATGGATACAGAGAATGTTATTTTTTTCTTACTTGAACCAAAAATGTGCCCTCCAGGTTCAAAATATACATGTATGGTCGTGTATTGGTTTATTACAACTGCTTTAACATTCTAATCAATATTTTCATTTCATTGGTATTTTTCTTGTCAACAAATTCAGCATAATACGGATTCAACAAAGACAGCCCAATAAAAACACAAACCTATATTTATATAGTAAATATCAAAGGGCAAATAAAGCAAGGATAGCAGCAAAAGATAGAGGGAGATGGTAAAGGATGCTGACAAGTCTTGAAGAGGATAAGTAATAGTAAGCAATGCAAGCATGAATAAAGAACATACATTTTCAAATTAATTACTTTAAAATAAACATTTATGCTATTCTAGAAAAAAACCAAGCCACAAATACCCGTAGCAGTTTGAATTAACCATTATTATGCACTTAATTGCTACATGTATAGTCAAAGGGAGAAATAGTTTACCATTGTAAGTGCCATGTTTTCCAGCAAATGGAAGTGACCTCAGCTTGAAAGCAGACTGGTATGTCCACTGGTCAGTGGGGTGGTCAGTTGTGTTGACCAGGGGTGTCCATGAGGTGTTATAGTCCCTGCTGTCATCAGTGCCCCATTCATATCTCACTGTACAGGAGTGGATCATGGACTGGAACGTGGGGGGCACATCACAGACATCTGAAATACAAGAGATATGATACAGAAGCTCAATGAACTCACTACTGCAGGGTCATAATACGACTACATGTACATACTCTCACAAAGTCATAACATACCCTGTGTGTGTTTGTGTGTGTACAGAGGTATGTGTGCCTGCATGCACTATCTGTATGACAGAAGAAAGAGAGACACACAGATCCTTACAGTAACTCCACAGTTATAATATACTCAGTGTAGAACAGTAGAGAGGGACTATAAAATATAACCTTTCACTCTCAGCTGTCTGAGTCTGGCTGCCCCTACATGGAGTGACACCATGTCAGCTGTCAGGCTGTCACTCTCTGTCACACTGTCACCATTATACCAGGTAGAAGTGAACAGGGAAGGTACAAATGTCTCCTCTAGGTACTCCCACATGGAGTCAACATCACTGACCTGGGGGAATAGTGAAAATACATGTAAAAGGTAAGTGATAGTTTATACGGCAGATTGTAACTGTTATAGTACCAGTAATGATCAAATTATTCTCTCAAACAAACTTTGCAATAGAGAGCCACCAGTACCATGAAACTCAAGGCTCTGTGTAATCTCTATCAGTACAATGAAACTGAAGCTTTTCAAGAATTGCCATCACGTAGTACGTTCCTTGATACTGAAGGTCTTGAAGAATTTGTATCAGTTCCTTAAAACTGAATGATTTAAAGAATCCCATCAGTACCTTGCAATGTCCAGTCCCGTCTAACTTACCTCTTCAAAGGCTGGACCATCTGCATACTCCACCGTGATAAACACATCTTCTGTAGACTTTGTCACATAGAATGCCATAGGGTCTCGGTGGCCATATGTCACAAATACCAGGGCCAAGGTGAAGGTCACATACAGCGCCAGCTCTACCAGTATTTGATACATCCTCCTCTCTTTCATTCGTATGCCGCGCATGTGTTCTACCACGGGCTCTGGTAGAGGCTTGTACATGTGCTGAGCACGCTTTTGTTGAAGATTCTTTCGATAATTAGCTATGTTTTCATCCTTAAGGTATTTTTCATCTTCAGCTGTGGGGGTAAAACAAAATTAAAAGGAATTACTTTCACACTCCTTTTCACTCCAGTTCTAACTAGAAAAATTTTTAATCTGAAATTAATTTTTCTATTTTCAGCACCAACTTAGGAAGTACTTAGTTTAACGTACACAGGAAACTAGAGGATCAGAGAGGCGATACCGCCTCCGAATATTGTTCCACCAGCTGGAGTAAGCGCAATCGTATAGTCCCCACACACACACACACAAAAAAAAAGGGACACCACCACCAGTTTTGTACAATCAAACTTCAGTTAGTAGTAAGGTAGGTCAAAGGTCAATTTCAAGGTCACAGTAAATTTCCAGTATATGACTTCCTATTCAAGTTCAAAAGTAACTATGTACACATCTCTGCCAGTTTTGGGGATAAAAGGGAACCAAAATTTGTAAACTTCAATTCATGATGAAAAGTAGGTCAAAGGTCAATTTCCAGGTCACACTTAGATTGCCTCTAATGACTTCTATTCAAGTTCAATAGTTACTATGGGCGTATTTTTGCCAGTTTTGGAGATAGAAGGGAACCAAAATTTGCAATGTTGTTCATGGTAAAAAGTAGGTCAAAGGTCAATTTTAAGGTCACGAAAAAATTGCCTCGTATGAATTTCTTTTCCAATTTTATAGTAACTATGGGCGTATCTCTGCCAGTTTTGAAAATAAAAGCATTAAAAAGTTGCAAAGTTCAGTTTATGGTGTAAAGTAGGTCAAAGGTCAATTTCAAGGTCACACTTAGATTGCCTCTAATGACTTCTATTCAAGTTCAATAGTTACTATAGGCATATTTTTGCCAGTTTTGGAGATAAAAGGGAACCAAAATTTGCAAAGTTCAATTCATGATGAAAAGTGGGTCAAAGGTCAATTTCAAGGTCACATTTTGATTGCCAGTATATGATTTCCTATTCAACTTCAATAGTAACTATGGACCTATCTCTGCCAGTTTTGGAGATATAAGGGACTAAATGTTATAATTTTGGAGTTACAATAATGTGCCATAAATTTCGTACAGAAAAAATTAATTAAAATAAAGAAAAGGTCATTTTGGTCAAAAATTCTTGAAATGGGAGGTGCTTTGAAGTTCCAGATGTTCAAATTTGATGAAATAATGTCATTTTTGACCACAAGTTGTCTGCTTTGCCAAGCCCGCACATTTTGCTTTCACCACCAGTATATGACTTTTTGATAAAGCGTAACTCGAAAACCGTATGGAATACAAAAAAACGGAGACCACCTCCAGTGTTGGGCTTTACATGCTCTACAAAATGCAAAAAAGAATGGGTGTCTAGCATTAACGGTTCCCGAATTAGAGACAATTTTCAGTTTTGATATCTTATGGCCGCTACTCCCGTGAAAATGCACCGATTGACCCCAAATTCACG